AAAATGTCAACAGTTCCTCCATCAGCAGCCCAGCATGAGAGTCCTCCAGCTCTTTCCTCAATGGGTCTGAAGACCTCAGGCTATCGACCAGTCATTCTCCTCATCTGTGTGGCCTACTAATCCAGGCAGCCATTGGGTTTGGGTCTCACACTACTGAGTGTCTTTCATTCTCCCCCGAGCACCCACAGCAGAGATTATTACTTGTGGATTTTTTTTTCCTGGTGATTGAGACACCCTAGAAACAACCCTAGAAACAGAGCGGGAAACAACTGCAATTAGATAACTAGATTTCCACAAAAATGCGATGCCTGCCCCTGCCATGGGCATTTCTTGCTGCTCTGCTCTCCACTGGTCCTCACACTCCTGAAATGGAGCAGGGGCTCCAAAAACTCTCTCCTCCAGTGCTGGGAGGCCATGCTCAGCACAGGCTGCGAAGTAGAATTACCTGAAGAACTGCAAGGCCTGTCCGGGCCTGGGTCTGCCCCACCCCCTCAAGGCTCCGATTTTCTCAGCCTGGGAAGGGGGCTGCAAATGATCCCCAGGTGATTTTAATGTGCAGCCAGAAGCAAGACGCCCTGCTCTGCTCTCCAGTTGCCAGGGAACAATCCTCAGATTCCTGTAACTTTACTACACAGTGTAGATGGAGTCTTCCCTTCTCTTGCCAGACTCTGCATTTCCTCAGACCACAGCCTGATTGTAAAAGAACATTTTCCCTTCCTCCTCTGTGTGGACACATATGCAGAGCTTTAACAAGTGGCACACGCCAGATATATCGTTCTGCATTTCGTTTTCATCACTGGGCTTTCTTTCATGCATAAGACACGGCTCTGCTGCATCATTCAAAGAACCACACAATACCAACAGGTACCATTAGGTACCAGAATTTACACAGCCGTTTTTCCACTGATGTCGCCTGGGTCTCTTCTTATAGTTTGCTATTGTTAATATTATGAAGTGAAGTTTTGATTGCTCTTAAGAAGCAGAGGTGTGTGCATAATTCAGTTTCGGGAAGATCCCAATGTGATTTAGGATTTTGTGCATCTGTTTAGAAAGATCACAGATCTAGCTGGTGACTGGAGATTTTATTGGCCTTACTGGGTCTGGATTTTCAGACTTATGGATTGGAAATACTAACTTCTTTTGCTTAATTGTAATGAATGTGTGATAGAAGGTGTGTGCAGAGCCTGGCTAAGACCAGTTAAGTTCTCAGCTATAGTTGCTGTGGTTAAGAATTTTATTGTAGGACCAAACAGAGTTCAGTTGGTAGACTGCTTGCACAAAGCTTGGAGTTCAGTTCCTAGGACCACATAAAGAATTGGGTGTGCTGGCATACACCTGTAACACTGTGGAAACAGGAGATCAGAAGTTCAAGGTCACCCTTGGCTACACAGTGAATTAGACTGGACTACATGAAACTCTGTCTGAAAAAAAAATGGCCTTATCACAGTGGGATACTGGAGATCAAATCCTCATGGTGTGGTCCCTTGCTTTGCTCTCACCTCAAGTGGAACTCAACAAAACTTCAGAGCATAGGTTTCCCTCCCTGTACTTGTCTACTTGAGCTGGGTTTTGCTGTTTACAAGGTTAAGGGTTTGACTTTAAATTCTATAAATCCTGCAAACAGAGTTAGAGGTAGCTAGCTCTTAAGTGTTTGTGTTGAACAAGCTGTATATTAACTGGAGTGGAGATGCGGTACAAAGCTAGAAGAGTGAGCTGTCAGCTAAGCTCTGTCATTAATCCACAACCAAGAACTAACTTTGGTGCTGTCAGCTATGAGGGGCAGCTCCCCTCCCCTGGGGTGGAGAGGGAGCAAAATTATAAGAACTTAGTGTCTTGGAACACAAGAACTGTGGGTGTTGGGCAAGTCCCAAATGGGCTCATTGAGACACTCCACAACCTTTTTCAGACCTCCATTTCCTCACGTCTTTAGGACTGTGTTCAGCTTCATGTGTCACCCTACTGCTGCTCTCACGGCCTTTGCGTTATAGTGTCGAAAAACATCATCTAGAGACAGAGGAAAAGGATTATATCTCTTTTTTTATTTTTATTTTATTTTATTTTTAATTACACTTTATTTACTTTGTATCCCCCCTCTAGTTCCCTCCCAATCACTTCCTTCCTCTCCCTTCTCCAAGCATGCCCCTCCCCAAGTCCACTGGTAGGGGAGGGTTTCTTTTCCTTCCTTCTGATCCTAGTCTATTAGGTCTCATCAGGAGTGGGTGCATTGTCTTCCTCTGTGACATGGTAAGGCTGCTACCCCCTCAGGGGGAAGTGATCAAAGAGCAGGCCAATCAGTTCATGTCAGATGCAGTTCCTGTTCCCATTACTATGGAACCCACTTGGACACTAAACTGCCATGGGCTACATCTGTGCAGGGGTTCTAGGTTATCTCCATGCATGGTACTTGGTCAAAAGAAGAAGAAAACAGGAAACAAGTTAGGAGCCTCCCACAGAGGGCCTCTGAAAGGCTCTGCCCTGCAGACTATCAAAGCAGATGTTGAGACTAATGGCCAAACTTTGGGCAGAATGCAGGTAATCTTATGAAAGAAGTGGGAAATAGTAAGATCTGGAGAGAACAGGAGGTCCACAAGGAGAACATCAAAACCAAAAAATTGAGCACAGGGGTCTTTCCTGAGACACATTGTATCTCTTATATCACTAGTAAAGTGTAAAGGAAACTTCCTTCTTGAATCCCATTGAGACAAACTGAATCACCATGATCCATGTCCTAAGAAAAGTCAGTGTGTTAACAGTGAAATGACCATTAAGGATTTAGGCCACTCCTGTCAGAGAGGGCCTGGCCAGGCCTGGAGCACACAGCTTCTCAGCACCTGATTAAAGTAGGTAGCCAATAAGGGAAGAGGTATGCATCTGGCCCCGCCACCTGATTTGTAAGGATTGCTTAGGTGTATTTTTAAGATCCGAACTTAACATGCAAATGTTCCCACTAAATATATAAAAATATCAGCTCTGAAGTTTGTCACCTGGAAACATAGCATAACAAAGGCAGGGCAATGATATTTCCTGTTATTTTTAGAACTAGGGGTGTGACTTAAAAGTGAAGAATCTGCCTACAGAAGGGATGCAGGAGGAGCATGAAGGGTGGAGTCAGCATGTGGCATGGAGCGTGCTCTTCATGAGGCTATCAGATCTTAGGAGGCAAACTTTTAGACAATGCTGGGGAGCCTAGAAGGGTATTCCTGGGGTTGTGTGTGGCAAAGTCTACAACACCTGGTCTATAAAGGGCATTGCAGAGAGGGTGGGTCCAGAGACAAAGTTCACATTACAATGTCCTTTACAGATGTTCAGGTCCCCATAATGTGGAGAATCAAGTTCTTTGTCTTAGCCTTCTTTTACTGGTTCATAAACAGAAGGGCTGACCCCAAGTATACAGGGACACAGTCTGCTGTGCCTGCCAAAGTGGGGAACACTATGTGGATACCAGTGCTCCAAACTTGAAGACAGCAATCAAGCCCCATAACTAAACAACCCAGGGTTACTGTGCTACCTTGCCTGTAATTGCTCTTCCCCTAGCGTTTGACTGCTTTTGACATATTTCCAGGCAGATGAATAAATTGAGGCTGACTCCTGGAATGAAAATCCTCTCTGAACGTCTGATTCTCCGATATCTTGGTCAGGTAGCAAGCCTGTGCAAGAAGCAGAGCCAGGTCAAACACTGGGGCAAAGGAACATGGTGAGGTCACTAGGGAGAGGCAGCAGAAAATGTGTCCATGTGAGGGGCACAGGGTGGTAGCTGAGACGTGAGCTCTGAGCAGCGTGGTCCAGCTACCTCTCTGTCAACTACTTCACACTTCACAGGGCACCAGCACACCCGAGTCTCAGAGACAGTGAGGAGCATGGTTGAAACCCCACCGTCTTAGAAAGAGAGAAGCGAAGAATTTTGTTCATATAGACCTTTGAAGAATATCATCAAGGGATTCACTGTCCAATTTTCCTATGCCATTCCTCCAGATACTCTCTAATGTGGCAATTCAAACTGATTGGCAGAGAAGCTCCACTGTTCTGTTTCTGAGTGAGGACTGAATGTAGGGACTGTTGAATCCCCAGAGCTTCTTGTCTCTTAAATGACCCTTCTTGGCATTTTTTTTTTAATGGCATGATGGTGTGAATGGAGAATTTTCTACCTGCCTATGTGAGACAAGTTGTAGTCAAAACATGAGCAACCCAAGATACAGTATAAAATTACCTTCTGGTTATGTATCCAAATGTACATGTAAATGAATTTCCAATTTACACTAGGATTCCATCTCAAAGACATCTTGTGTTATATATGCAAATATCCCCAAATTTCAAAACTCCAAGCTTCAAAAGACTTCTGGCTTTAATCCTGTCAGATAAAGGATGCTAAACATTATAGTGGTTTACATTTTTAAAATAAAGATGTTATCAAGTAGTAGGAAATATTCCATTTCCTCTGCCCTTAAACTTTTTAAGACAGAGAGAGAGAGAAGGAGAGAGACAGAAAGAGAACATGAAGGGACAGTCTCTGGGAGGAATTGGGAGAGTAGAAAGAATATTATCAAAATATACTGTATGAAAAGTACTTTAAAAATAAACAAGCTGCCTACGTACCCTATAAAATAGTGAGAGTTGGTTACACGGATATTAGATAGGGTACAGGGTTGGAGTCTCCCATAATTTTTCTGCTCATCCCCCAATGGCTGCATTTACCACAGTGTAGTCTAAGTGATGAGCAAGTGACAAGTGATACTTGCTTCTTTAATATGAGCTTAAAAGTAGAGACAAAAGATGTTTGACAATTATAACCATTCTGAAAAGAGCAAGAGATTGTGGAGTAGAGCCGACTTCAGAAGAGGCTAAACTCCCAAGCCTCAGGGCCATTTCAGAGTCCAGAATCCAGAATGCCAGAATCCAGACTTTCCACAGCTACTTCTCTGTAGCTCTGAGCTAGTGAAGCTCATGGCTGGGTCCCATACTCAGTCCTGCCCCACTGAGCTTGCCTCTGTCTTTTCCTGCAGGCAGTAAAGCGCTTCTTGAAGCAAGAATGTAAGTGTCACGGTGTGAGCGGCTCCTGTACGCTGAGGACATGCTGGCTGGCCATGGCTGACTTCAGGAAAACAGGCGACTATCTCTGGAGGAAGTACAATGGGGCCATCCAGGTTGTCATGAACCAGGATGGCACAGGCTTCACGGTAGCCAATAAGAGATTTAAGAAGCCAACGAAAAACGACCTCGTGTATTTTGAGAATTCTCCAGACTACTGTATCAGGGACCGAGAGGCTGGTAAGTTAAGAGACTTCCTTCAGAGAGCAATGCTCTACAACCTAATTGGATGCCCATCTTTTTAAGCAGGCCGTTTGTGTAATTGCAGATGCCTGCCCTCAGGTTCCAGGCTTGTGTTCTTCCTAATTCATATTGAGACTGCACAGAAAATTCTCCTAAACAGTTAGGGAAACAGGTTGATAGTGTGCAGATTCTGAAGAAATATGAACTAACAAGAATGTATATGGCACAGAGTCAAAATACTCAGATCTGCAGAATTCTTGCCTGCACAGAATTCTAGTTAGGGGGACAGATAAGCATTATGTGCAATTGCCCGGAATCCTTCTTGTGATCCTGTGCTGAGCAGGGACAGTTTTGTAACAATTGTCTCCCATGACAAATCCCTTCACCATGACTCTGAAATGGCCCTGAGGCTTGGGAGTTTAGCCTCTTCTGAAGTCGGCTCTACTCCACAATCTCTTGCTCTTTTCAGTATGGTTACAATTGGTCAAACATCTTTTGTCTCTACTTTTAAGCTCATATTAAAGAAGCAAGAATTTACCCCCACTCTTTTGGTCATAGGTGGGTTGTGTATAAGGAATGACTGTAAGATGCACCTCATTTGTTAAAGCCACACTCTTGCCTCCTAAACAACATTTTCTCCATTTGTATCCCAAGAGTTCCTCTTCCAACTTGGACATGGTAGCTGTCCCCACCTGTCTGCTTTTTATAGATATGTGCTCTCCACCTCTTACCCTTAAGGTCACTATTAGGCTGCAAAGACACTAGAGCAAAATAAGAATAAATGAAAGGGTCTCAGTGGGGAAAAGGTAATGCCCGCCACAGCCCACTTTGGTTCCTATCATTTGCTTACTGGGGAGCAATGAAATTTAGTATCAGACAAAATATCCTTCAATTTACATTCTGAGCTTGTTCTCCATCCTGAAATAACTGCAAGAGAGCCAGTAAAGCAGCGCAGATGCGGCCAGCTGCTACAGCTAGATTAACTGATAGGCAAGATTGCCAGGAAGCATCATTAGGGAGCCAGGAGCCCTTTTCTTGCCCTCGAGTTGTTTGATGAGTTAGCTGGCTGCAGCCTGTGAGCATGTTTGCACATGCAGCATACGAACTCAAGACTGGTGAGCACTGGGACCTGACACTGTGCCCCACTGCATTCCTGTCATGCTGTGGGGCTGCTACCAAGTCATCCTACCTGTCAGACGACAGGCTCAGTGAAACCTGTTGCTTTGACATAAATCAACCCAGGGGGTTGTGTCCCCTCCTGTCCTTATTATTTGACTCTAACCAGGGCATGGGGATGAAATCACCTTAATCATTTTGGGCCCGAGAATAGACACTTGTGTGCTGAGCATTGCCCTAAGACCATTGTGTACCCACCCAGTCTTGTTGAGTCTATGAAGCAGCCCAAAGACATCAGTGCATTGTAAAATTTTACTTGTGGAAAAGGGGACAAAATAACGGATACCCTTTAATGACTGACACCAACCAAACTCTCTCCTTAGCTTACCGAGTCAGATGAACAGCCCTGGATATCACGCTCCATACTGAACAGTTAAGAAAATTAAATGCCTTGTCCACATATCATGTATGGATGGAGATGTATGTCTGGCCCTGTGCTTGGCCTGAGCTTTGAACCTAAGGGGAAACATTTGCTTCACCTATTTCCTAAGCACGATGGTGAAAAGACCTTAAGACCAAAACCTCGTATCAGATCTAGAAAACTTGCTACCCAGCAGGGTTTTCTGGTTTTTTGATTCGAAATGGTTTACGTAGTGAAGAAAACAGTCTTACCTGATGAGTTTTTTTTTTTTTTTTCATCATTTAACTCTGCCTCTAGAAGCTCTATACACAAAGGCACACAGTTAGAGGACTGGCTTTCATAAAGAGATATAATTTGATCTTTAATTTGAAACTAGGTCAATATTTTGGTTAGGTGTTATTGATTAAATAGAAGCCTTCCTGATCTTTTAAGTATCTAGTTCCAATATAATAGATCACATTTCCAATAAGTTTACCAGATTATTTGTAATTTTCTAAAATAGATAGAAATTTTGCCCAACCAGGCATGGTGGCACATACCTACAATCCCAACACTCAGGAGGCAGAGGCAGGTGGATCTTTTTAAATTCAAGGCCAGCCTGGTCTACAAAGTGAGTCCAAAACAGCCAACACCTCAGAGAAAAACCTCTTTCAAAACAAACAAACAAACAAACAAAAAAAAAGAAATGATGCCCTTTGTAGTTGTGCTCAAGAACATGCACAAGTTATTCACGTGACCTGCAACATTTCATTTGTAGCTTCGGTAACTACATGTGAATGTTTTCATAAAAACACCATTTAGAATGTTTTATGTCATATAGACAAAAGCTCAGCTTGTTAAAAGACTATCTTAGATTATTAACATTTGGAGTATTACAATAGTCCCAGGTTCGGGATGTGGAGACCTTTGCTTCAAGCGCACGCTGGCTGGGTAATGCCCTTTGGCTTGGGACTGATGGCTGTCTTCAGATGGGGGCCTCCCTGACTGGGATAACCTTGTGTGGAGTGTGCTCTCCGAAGCTGGGCCACACCACACTGACCGCATGTGGGTGTGGCCTCTAGCCTCTGTTTGTGGAGCTAGAGAGATAAGAAAGATAATTCTGAGACCCATGGGAATGGAGACTTTCTGCATCTGACCCTTTGTGAAACAAAGGCGTTAGGTCTTACAGACTACGTGCCATTGTGAGTCTGTAACAGAATGAACACTGTGATGGAATAATCTTACGGGTTAGACAAAGCTTCAAGGTAGACCAAAACTTCATAGTAACATTTAAATCAACACACACACACATTCCTCTTCTTTCTTGTTTTTTTTTTTTTTCTCTATTCAAATTAATAGTCTCTCTCCCCTATATCTCGTCTTCTCTTCCTAAATGGTTGGATTTAAGTAATGGACTCTTGAATGTTCACTTCACTGGGCGCCTTCTCCTTGAGAGCTTTAGAAGAGCAGGAGCTGCGATCAGGCAGGGCTCTGGTGGGTGAGTGGTGCTTGAACTGGTTGGCTACACTCTTCTGTCCCCTATTGCATCCTGTTCAGAATAACGGTGCACAGGATTGAGCTGGAGTGTTTTCCAGTCACGTCTGTGCAGTAGATGCATGCGCAGGTCCACTTCATCGTTTTCCACAGCCAAGGCTTCCTCAGAGACCTGGCAGAGCAGAACCAGGACATCCCATACTTGTCAAACTTAACAATAGAGTCTGGAAAATCAAGGACTTGGTGGTCTGTGGTCTCAGCTTACCCCTAGTATCAGAGAAGAGGAAATCTAAGGAGACTTTGTTCTCCCAGTCTCTGATCCTTAGAAAGGGTGAAGAGTGTTCTTATTTGTAGAGCTCTCAATAGACATAACTCAGGAAATGGTCTCTGGCTTATGTGGCATAGAATTCTCTTTTTTTTTCCTCTTGCTGCTTTTCAGACATGTAAATCCAACATCTCCAGAAAAATATACTGCAGGTATCTTATTTAAATGATTTCAGCCATTAAGACATCTGCCGGAATTAGCTTGACATATTGGTTATCAAGTCGCTCCTCTTGGGGAAACCCCGACACAGTGATACCAGGATGAGTGAATTTTAAAGAGGAGAGTCACAGAAAGAATAACTTGAGTGTTTCTGGTGAGGACAGATCTCTCAGCATGGCTGCTGGGAGCACGGGTCGAGCTCCTGACAGGTCAGGTCTGGTCTACATCCCTTACGTGTAGATTGGCAGCAATCCCCTTTGTTTTCAGATCAAGAAAATGGAATCCCAAAGTTCTGTAATTTGTCCAAGATTTCACGACCTGGAACTAGTTAACAAAATGAATAGATAGAAATCAAAACAAAAATCCATACTTGTCTCATTTTACCATTTCCCTCGTATTTGGATTCTGTGAAAAGTAGGGGAGGGTCTTCTGTGAAAAAGGTACAGGATGTAGATCTGGGAATTTAATTGGGGGTGCCCACAAAGCCAAGAGTTCAAAACTGATCAGAATTAAACAGCCGCATTTAGATTAGGTTGAAGCCCTTTTTGACTGGAAGTTTTCCAAGATTTTCTTTCTTTCTTTTCTTTCTTTCTTTCTTTCTTTCTTTCTTTTTTTTTTTTTTTTTTTTTTTTTTTTTTTTTTTTTTTTTTTTTTTTGCTTTTTTATAATGTGAGTGTGTGAATGTGACGTTCCTGTGCAGGCATGTGTGGAAGACAGAGAGAATGTCGTCCTCTATCATTCTCTGCCTTATTCCCATTAGTCAGGATCTCTTATTGAACCTAAAGCTTGCTGTTTGAGCTAGACTGGCTGGTCAGGAAGCTTCGAGGATCCACCCATCTCTGCCTCCCAACGCTGTGATTACAGGTATGCACAAGCCATACCTGGCTTTTATCTCAGTGCTGGGGATTTGAACTCAGTTTCTTAGGCTTGCACTCTTATGTACCGAGCCATCTCCCTAGCTCACCACTTCATATTTTTAAGAGAATCTCCTTAATCATTCCTAGCAAATGGTAAGGAAAAAAAAATCAAAGAAGCAGTGGAAACAATAACCAAACACATCTCCTTATTCTTCAGCTGAGGAAGGCAAGTGTTTTCTGACGACCAACTATAAATACCCCATCTGCAGCACAGATTTGCCGAGTACTAGCAACTGTGAGAGGTTGGGCATGTGATATTTTGCAGGCCAAACTGCAGGCCACATCTTAAGAGGGGGACTATGTGAGATGAGCACTCTGGTGGCTCTGGAGTTATCTAGTCTGGTGATTGCCCCCAGGCATCTGTAAATCAAAGCACCCCTTCAGTTAGAGATAGGTACATCTGTAATGAAGGAATGCTGCTCTCCCCTGCAGGGGCCGCGTCTGCACCTAATCACAGAGCACTTTCACTGGGAATGATGTAAAACCCTGACCTGGGCCAGAAGTCATTCTAAGGTCTCCTCTCTAACCAGAGGAAACAAGCAAGCCTCCACCTCTTCCCCAGTCAAGTTCAAAAACAAATGGAGCT